TTGAATAGTTGGATATTCGAATGTAATTTGAATAGCACACAGGACTCTCACTACTGGAATATTTGATTATATCTTAAACGGCGATTCCATATTGATCGAATGTTTAAAATTCAAAGTATTCTATACTATAGTTCCTCGAAATTTTGTTTCAACTATACGTCCATCTGACCTTTATCGCATATCCGAGAAGCGGAATGTAAACGTGGACGTTCAATGACCTTAATTTTCAAAGTTTGCAAGAGGATGCTGTTATAACTTCTACTCCAAAACTATGTTCCAAACAATAAGCGGACCTGCTTCTTTAACGGTCAGGCCATCTCCGATTTTTAGTATTTTTAAAAGTGAAATAAGTGAAGTGTCATGACTTTTCCAGCTAATTAAATATGTGAATCTTCTCAAAACGTTGAAAATGCGAGCACGGGAGCGATTTTGAGTGCGCAAAGCTCAGAAGAGGAAAGAGAGAGGGAAAAGGAGCTCATCTTTTCTTTTCTCATTCCCATTTTATCGTATCACAATAAACAGATTTTGATAAACGTAAGACAGTGTTATCTGCTAATAGCTCAAAAACAATCACTAAATCCGTAACGCTAGAACGTTTGAAGCTTGGCAATATCTATAATAATTCCTGAATCAAGGCTCTCTTCTTTCAAGGAAATATTTTTGCCCAGTTGTGGGCAGTGTGATAACGTGGATGTTTGAAAACTGCTGTAAAAATACCTGTTGATTTATAGAATTGATGTCTGCAATGCTAAGCTATCGTGGTATACCAAGATAATTTGCTTTGACGTAACGCTATAGATGTGTACATAAGGGTGCGTTTGTGGATGAATACCAGGTCAAAAAACAATGTAATGCATTGAAATTTTCGCTGGTTTTCAACCTTTTCACATCAATTCATTTCCTCCTAATTATGTCGTGAAATTACAGCAGTGATTAACCGACAGTGTCCGAAATGATGTCACTCTCCTTCCTCTCCATTATCATGGTAACATATGGGATGCAAGGCTACCTGTTGCCAAATTATAATGAAGACTTCGCTTGAAACCTCATGTCCCCTCTAAGTGCCGCAGCGTACGCAGACAAGCGTTGGAACACTATCATCGGACGCATATGTGGTACCTTTCAACGACCTACTCTTCATGTTTTAGCTTAAAACTAGGTATGCGGTCAAGCAACTCATTTAGGTTGAGCATGTGACGGCCTATTGTGATTAGTGGAACACATGCGCCGGCTTTGCTGCAGTATTTCCCTCTCGCAAAGCGATCGCCGTTAGCTTTAGGTGACAAATTTTATAAATCATTCGCTCAATGTCGTCATTTCACATCTCGATCTCTTCCTTTTGTGAGTAATCGTTCTGGTTATAGAGGCACCAAAACAAAGCAACAGCTCTGGGACATTTTTCACCAAGAAGGTTCGTCT